ATTAGGGAGCGAATCTAGACGAATTTAGACAGACTGGGGCAGTGGGTGGAACAGAATAGGATTCAGTTTAACAAAGATAAGTGCCATGTGTTGCACCTAGGGAGGAAGAATCATCAACACGCCTATAGCCTGGGAGGTACCACTCTAAGTAGCACAGCTGCGGAAAGGAGTCTCGGAGTTATAGTTTACTCCAAAATGAACATGAATCGCCAATGTGATGAAGTAATAAGTAAATCTAACTGCACTCTTTCTTGTACAAGTAGGTGCATTGCAAACAGGTCTAGGGAGGTGATACTTTCCCTATACGTGGCATCAGTCAGGCTGCAGCTGGAGTACTACTTCCAGTTTTGGGGGCCGCACTTCAAGAGGGATGTAGATAACCTGGAATGGGTTCAAAGGAGGGCCACCTGTCTGGTTAAAGGCCGACAGGAAAAAGCCTACAAGGACCAGTTTGAGGGACCTGAATCTCTTCAGGCTCTGCAGGAGAAGGCTGAGAGGTGATCTTGTGGCCCTCTACAAACTCATTGGGGGGGACAGCAGGAAATAGGGGATACAGTGTTTACCAGGACACCCATTGGAGTAGCTAGAAACAATGGCCACAAACTGAAGGAGAGCAAATTTAGATTAGCTATCAGGAAAAAATTCTTTACAGTGAGGGTTGCCAAAATATGGAATATGCTCCCAAGGGAGGTGGTGCTGTCCTCTTCCTTGGAGGTATTTAAGGGGAGATTGGACAAACACCTGGCTAGGATCATCTGACCCCAGCACTCTTTCTTACCCAGGGCAGGGGGTTGGACTCGATGATCTAAAAGGTCCCTTCCAACCCTAAAAATCTATGATATCTATGAAATTATAATGAGCCACAATGTCAAGTGACTCTCTCAGTGCTGCCTGAATAGAAATACTTCTGCCACTTCCTGGTACCTGGTTTTAAACTTTGTGTGGAGCTGGAATCAAAGGGTGGTGTGACTGCACCACGTCACCCTGTAGATATGCCGCTGTCTTTAATTACTTAAGGCCCTGCTCTAGTTAACTGAAGTTCACCTGTTTTGAAGTGAGGCATCAGTTAGTTTTTCCCTCCTATTCCCAGCTGCCTGAGGAAGGGACTGACTACTCAGAGGCAATAGTAACATTTCCCAGTGCTGTGCCTCTCTAAGCAACAGGAACAAACCTGCCAAATCTTCCAAAAGTAGATCATATGCAGGCATAGAAATACCAAAATATTAAGACTTTTTAATATGTCTCTTTCATTTTATAGGCCTGGAAAATGCACTCATCTTCACCTAAGAAACATTTCTTTTTGAGTAACATACTGCTTTGTGCTGAGCCAAGAGGATTTTTTTCTGTTAACTTTTGTGAAATAAAAATACACATTTGTCGATAAATTCAAATTCTTACCTCGGTTGTGTTCATAGTTAGTTGCTTGAAGGTGGATACAGCACAGCTTTGTACCTTAAGAGACTTAGTCAAGGAGTCCACAGTGTATCACCATTTGAATAATTTGGTATTAAAATAAAATTGGTATTTAGTATGTGCTTTTTGAAATACATGCAATAAATACATAATTTTGATATTATTAATATTATTATCTTAAATTAAAAAAGACAAAGACATATGGTGAAAAAAGACAAATTTGAGTTTGTCTATGATGGCAAAGCAACAGTTCAACTATACATAATGAAGATACGGTGCAAAGAAAATAAAAACAAAAAAACACTATACCGTTTGTTGAAAGATACTTCAGCAAATGTAGGAGGCTAGATTCAGCAATGGGTAAGAGGCACTTCAGTCTAACAGATGGGCTCATTAAGTAAGTGAAACAGCAAATTAACAAAAATCTTGATGCCTTCTTATTTTTGAAAGGTCAAATGATCCGGGAAAAATAGTTGTCAGATATGCTTGAGAAGCCAGTTAATGAATTAGGAAAATAGCTTTATGTGCACCTGGAGCAAACGATAGAGCAAGATTTCAAAATTAAAAGCAAATATCCCAGCAAGAATTAGAAAAGCAGCTGTCAGAGATTGGGGGGGAGAGGGAGGGGGAGACCCATAGCCACAAGTAGAAACTCTGAAGAAAGTTTCTTTCAGGCACTGGGTAACTTTTAAAATTAAATACCCAGTGTGTGTATGACATTTCTGTAGCTGTGTACTTATGAGTTCATCTATCTTTTAGGGCACAAAAGTCAGACCCAGTGGAAGCTGTGGTAGTGATGATAAAAGATACGGGCTTCTAAGTTGAGTGGGATATATTTATTTCAAAGAAAAGCATTCTGTCTAGGATTTTCTCATCTAAAGATTCAGTTACTCTGAGAAGCAATTGAGGCTCTTGAAGGCTTTTGTTTTAGTGAAAACTATGATTGAAGGTGCCAGCCTTCTGAGAAAGTCTTGTATAACTTGTATTACAAAATGCAAAGGTTAACTTCAAAGTTAAATTGAAAACTGAACTACTCAAATACTCAACCTTTATTCCATTGTCACATTTTTTTCATGGACAAACATCAAACAAAAACTTCACTAATGTACACACATCTGTCGATATATATTACTCTAGTGGAGGTTTTGTATTTGAGTGGTTTAGAAGAATTGGGTATATGTATATTGCAGGTATAAGTTGGAACTGTTAGTTATCTTTTCGTTTGCTGCAAGGTAAGAATGAATGCATGGGCAGTTGCACAGAATAGGCCACATGCTATAAATCCCTGCCCTTGTTTACCCCAGGTAATTTGTTTGTGCACTCCATAGCTTTAAACAAAGCATTGGGTTGCTTTGCTACCTTGTAGATTGTAGAGGAAGTAAAAGTGTGCCGTGAGCAGCTTGGAGTTATAGAAACAAGACAAATGGATAAAAGACTTAAACCTGTTTTGGTATTTGAACTTCATTGTATATTTTGCTGTTAAGATTTTGTGCAGTAACTGAAACAAAGGGCATCTGTACGTGTGCTCCAGAGTGGGGGAGGGGGATGCTTTAGTTAGAGTGCCTCAGAGAGCTGGTCTAATTAAAGTGCCCACAGCGTCATGTGTATTCAGTGTCCTGCAGTTCAAAATGGTGGCAGGGGCACTTGAACTAAAGCTTTTTCAATGAGTTTTAGTTCAAGCATCCCTGCCACCATTGTGAAGCCTGGAGACACTGAATAGACATGATGTGGAGTCTGCTAGAGCATATTAATTAGCACGCTCCAGCAGACTCAATCTAGTCTCAGCTGATGCACTAATTAGCATGCATTGGAGCAGATGTTCAGCATGTGTATAGCGTGCTCAAATACAGCAAGTGCGATTCGCCTAACCTGTATCTGTTAGACCCATTATGTATTTGAAAGCTTAACTTTTAACATTTATTTCCAGTTACGATTTGTCATTTTTAATTACTAACTTCATAAAGAAATTTTATAATAAAATTTTTCATCTAAAAACCACTTGAGGTTCTCTAAAGTGCTATAAGAAACCAGAGAAGCTAGTGCATCAATGAGACCTGGACCACAAGTGGAACAAAGTTAGCAATGTCTATTATTTGCTAACATATTTAATAGCAATTTTAAATTATTATTTGATTAGTGCAGTGGTTCCTGTATTACATATGACCGTTTGGTTTATTTAATGTTTCATGTTTGTATTGAAATAGTTTGTGTATACTTTCCAACCTAATTTGCTTTCCAGTAGGGTGGAGAATCTCTCTACAAATGTAAACTTCCAAATTAACTTACTTTCTGGTACACCGTCTGCATAGCATGATTCTTGGTGGACTAAATGAAGGAAATAATTATTGCGGTAATACCATAACAGCAGCCCACCCATTATCAAATGGCAAATTAGCTGTGATGCTTAAGCTAGACCCCATGGAAGGGTTATGTTCTGAGCAGTATGGCACTGCTGAAGCTGAAGCTCCAGCTATCAGAATGGAGATATATGCAGATAAAACATCTGTAGAAGAAATTGTTTTTTAAAGTCTACATATTTTTCATCACATGTAAGTAGGAGTTGGTGACTTCTCTCTCTTCCCGCATCAGAAGGAAGGTCTGTGTGCACATCTACTTGAGAAGAGACTGCTTCTATGGTTATGCTGGTGTAATTGTGTTGTTTGAGCTCACCAGTGAAGATGCAAAATATGCCAACAGAAAGAGTATTTTCTGCTGGCATAGCAATTCCACCTCTCTGAATGACATTGTGAAGCTGATAAAAAACACCCTTTTGTTGACATCAGAAGTTTTTCTGGTAGCTATGCTGTCAAGCAGTGTGAACCTTTTTTCATATGCCTAGCTACTATAGTTGTGCTGGCAAAATGGTGTAGGGTAGACCTTGTTCTCTCTGTCTCAGGGTGAGAGACTAGTGAGAAACTTCAACAAGCAAATTATTTCTCTCCCTCCCATACATTTCCAAGGGACATGTTGAGTATAATGAGGGGTGTCTTGAGTTTAAAGAGATTGAAAACCACCTGGAGGTGAGAAGGGCCTGGGAATGGGCCCATAGAATAACAGTCCTGAATTTGGAGACAATCATGATTCTGCCATGAGAACGTATGTCAGAATGTATGTCAGATACATGGGTAAAATACAGTCTCTTGTCTATCACTTCAGTAGAATAACTAACATGACTTCACTGGGGATACCATGTCCTAGTGTAGTGTAGGAAACTGAGCTCAAAATTAGGAGACACCTTCAGCATGGCTTCAACCACTTGTTTTTGGGGTTGGTGTGTATAGAATAGGAACAGTAGATAGGGTGTACTTAGTATTTGCAGGAGTGCCAGGAAAGTGCTGTAATCCATAACCCTGAAAAACTACCAGGTGAAGAAGGAAAAATGTAACTTTGAAAAGGAATTAAATACAGAATTTAAAAGACTTTTTATTCCTAATTATTAGAATATGCAAAATGGTGATTTGTTTTGCAACAGTCAAAAAAAAAAGGTATGTACAGGTAGGTTTCCAAAAGGGTTTCAAAAATAAATAGCACCTACAGCTGCCTTAAGTAGCAGAGTTAATTCGAACCCACCCTCTGCTTTTCTGCAGAAGAAGTTGAAGAAGAGTCTGAAACTGCAAATGAACCTGATTTGACTGATAAACAGAAACATCAGTTGAAACACCGAGAGCTCTTTCTTTCTCGCCAGTATGAGTCCCTTCCTGCAACACACATCAGGTAAGAAACTTTCTTCATAAGCTACGGATTGTGAGAGTACCCAGTTAGTCCCACTAAAAGCTACTTACATGTTCCCTCAGTGGACTGCAAAAGGGAGCAATTACTGCCACTCTCAGCTGGTCTGTTTTCCCACCCATTAATTCCAGATTCTTTATGCCTTTTTTTTTGAAGGAAAAAGAGTCTAACCAGGGATCTTGAAGGAATGAAGCTGCTACCTGCTGATGAAAGCAGTAGTTGCTGCTAGAGTGCAGGGGCACTGCAATTTATATTCCTCTTCTGGGAAGTAGTTTTAATTTTTTTTTTTTTTTTT